GCACTGCGCGATTGACAGCGTGCAAAATAACTAACGGGAATTTTCGCGTATTTTTGTGCTTTTCTTGCATATCCCTCGCCCGCTCACTCTACCATCTGCATCACATTCTCTTCACCCCCTACATTTTTCTTGTGTTGATTTTGCAATTGTGTTATTGTTGTTTTTGCTGTTGTTGCTATCATTGTGAATTCATAAATGCGCAGGAAAAGATGCAAATGACAGCATTAAATAAATTCCAACACTTCAATTGTACAAATGCTACTCGCTCACTGAGGGGTGAGTGGAGTGTGACAGTTGCTTTGGAAAATGAATGGCTTCGAATTGTTGGTTAAGATTTTGCTCATTGCAAATAGTGTTTATTTTATGAGTGGTGACAAAGGGACAATCCTTAAGTGCGGCTAGCTGTCCTCTGCGGCATAAACCCCCGCAAGTGGTTGCCTTAATGGAAATTTGCATTCTTAGCATTTCATTAAATATTCTAATGAATCGTTTTTTCATTGTACCTACAAAAATAGAAAACTAGAAAATAAAAGCAAAATTAATAGCAACAAAAGTTATCACATATTTGAATTTATTTGCAGATTCGTATCAACTGAAGGTTCGCTCCAAATTGCTTTCAAATTGTTTGGTGAGTACAAAAAGGCATTATAATTCACATATTTAAAGCAAATAATATATTACGGAAGAATAAATAAAGAATTATGATTTACGAGTATATGCCGGGGACATATTTCAATATCATATTTTTAAGAGATAAATATTTAAGAATATTTTTAAGCAAACAAAGTAAGATACCCAGAGTTTGAAACCCAATATTTATTAATGTGTTTGTGTTACCCTACTTTTATAGACGAAATTCACTTCCCAAATCGATTTTTTATACTCTTGCAACATGTTGCTACAGACTTTTGCTCACCTAACGGTTGTTTGTATGAGAATTATATTAATTAAACTGAGTGAACGCATCTTCATGCCTAAAATGCATAAAATTGCGAGAAAACTTAACCTAGTCCCCATATATCTAATATTAGAGTTTTTAGGCATGCGGTTAACTTTACTTCTTAACATATGTATTTTTGGTGGTATGTGAGGTACCTCAATGAAACTCAGGAAGCATGTGTTTATTTTAATAATATGTAATATAGATAAAATTGTGTCAATACCACACCTGCCTGTAATATATCTTAGCAAAATTAACTGAGCTTATAATATTGTATGTACTTTATTTTAATGCCAAAACTATGTGAATATACATTATACTACACATAATAATGGAGTTGGTCTAGACCTTGGTCTAAATCCCATATCTAATCAACAATATTAAATTTAGCCTCTTCGGTTAAGTTTATATTAGATATAACTCATTTGAGGATAATTTTAATATAATTTTCGCTGACCGGAAGTAAAATATAGTTGTAAAGTAATTGAGTCTATGAACTATAATATAACATAAAAACATATCAAATACGATTGTTATTCATTCAAGGTTTTGTTGAGCAATGAATGTTAGTCTTTCGCGACATTTTTTTATATGAAGTTTTGTCAGTACCTGAAGGTTTTTACCCGGCTTTGATACTTGCAAGTTGCAAGAGTATGAAATATTCGGTTACACTCGAACTTAACTCTTTCTTACTTGTTTCTACTTATGCATATTGAAATGTAGCCGCTCCGCCCCTCAGTTTATCCTCAAGCGCTTGTCAAAACTAGATTTTTTAAATTTGCTTGGAGAAATATGATCTGATCACTATAAAATTTTGTATGCATGCCCTGTACATTCTGCACAACCTACTAATTATTTTATTTAATCAAAAATCGAATTTTGTCACGTCGAAAATTACCAAAATTTTATTAATTGATGATTATATATTTCGACCATAGGTTATTGCTTATTTTATTATCTTATCTTCTAGCGCGAGCATGATTTTTAGCATCGTCGGAGAACGCGTGCAACTCGAAAAATGTCAAATTAAAATTATTCAAACATTTACCTGGGTATTATTAAAACGTGTATAAATATACCCTTAAAATTTTAAGAAAGTGATAGTTTTTTTTATATTCTCAAAAATTGTTTTTTTTTGGGCTGTCGCCTCTTTATAATGATATCTGATATATTTCGACAAATATGTCCATTACTATATTTTAATTAATAACCCAACGATTACCTTCCTCCCGGTCAACCGACGCGAGGGGCGCAATCCGCATACGTGCGGAATTAGCCGAGTCAGAAAAGGCAAGAAAGTTTTTTAAGTGTTGAGATCTAAAACTGCTCAGCTACAGAAACAAAAATTTCAACAGCTAAGATCCAAGTTACAATATAATAAATTGTTACATATTCATTTATTAAGAGAAAACAATAAAGTCTTTTAAATTTTGAAAAGTGAGTCAGATAAGTCAAATGTGCTGGAATGAGAATTAAAATCATGACATATACAGCGGAATGGCTCGTTTAGTTCAAAATTTGATCTACAGGATTTTAGCAGGTCTAAACTGCCTCGAAAGGCGAACCGGGATATTAAATTTAATTTCAGACAGGAGAAAAGAACTGCAAACTGTTCCATTCAAGATTTTCACTAAGAATATTATGCCAAGCATTTCCCTACGACTAGAAAGTGTAGGTAGATTAATAAGTTTTAAACGACTAGTGTATGGAAGTAGACTTACCCTAGAATCCCATCGGAAATGCGCTAAGGCGAAAAGTAAAAATTGTTTTTGAACCGACTCTAACTTGTCAGAATGGATTCGGTAGCTAGGGTTCCATACAACAGAGCCATATTCCAATATAGGTCTAACCAAAGTTGTATAAAGTGTTTTAGTAATATACGGATCTCTAAATTCTTTAGACCAACGTTTAACAAAACTGAGGACAGCTTTTGCTTTCAAGACCATGGTATCAATATGAAGACTAAAATTAAGCTTAGGGTCCATATTAACTCCCAAATCAACATAGTTAAAAACTTGCTCTATATCGTTCTATTAATTGAAATGAAATTTTTAAAACCCAAAATTAAAAGTAAATCCCTTTTTCAAGTAAAATTTATGAAAACATAATATTAGCTCAAACATAGCGTATAAGTTTTATGAAGAAACTGCAACCAACTTTAATATAAAGTTAAATTCCATAGTTGGAAAAGAAAGATAGAATTTTATGTACAAATAATTAGATGGAATTGCCAAAAATATGCTGAAATATTATTCAAAAAGGTACGCATGTGTGTATGAAATTAGATCCACGATTGAATTAAATATTATCTCATTATTTATATTTGGGAAATTTAAAAATTTGCACAACAAGCGAAAATTAAAGAATTTCCGGGAAGCGACTCACCAACAAAAATATTAATCCCTTTATTGCAACCTGATTTCGTGGAATATAAATGTGCTTAAAAAAATATTTCAAAATCCATACAATCAAGCTATGTATTACAAATATATACGAAATATTTATTTGAGTAGTTGTGAGCATTTGCATGTTTGTATCATCATTAAATTGGCTATGTTAATACTCGTTATATGCCACATCGGTATGATTTACTGTAATCGAGCGCTGCTGAAGAGTTCAATCATGAAAAATATGAAATATTCATAAGAGCAAAGCTGGATTGCGCAATATTCAATACAAGCATCATTTTATCGATGCTATACCAACAAATGCACATATACATACATACAAGTATATAAATGTTATATAATAATATAAGCGTATGCTTATATCAGTTGGCTTGCATAAAATTTTACGGGCACAAATTTTGATAAATCCGTTACAAATTTCGAGTGCGATTTTCATGTTATAGCGCTTTTTTGCAAGTTAATGCCAGCAAATTCCGTAAATATGTAAAATTAACCTATACATATATAAATACATAATGGTATACATATTTGTATAAATTTGTGCTCTTAGATAAATTTATATTTTTATATAAGTCTTTTGTAATTTATACATGGATTTTATGAAGTTGTACAATAAGTATAGGTTGTCAACATATAATATGTGTAGTATACTATGATAGGGTCCGTGGTCTGTGTGTACGCGCATCTTTGATCAGCATGCATTCAGGCGCACAGGCTTGCGTGCAAGAAAGTGTCGTTCGTTCGCCCACTTACTTGCTTGAGTGAATTGTCAGCTTATTCAAGTGGAAGCGGAACTCTAGCACTCAACACTATGTGCGGACGATATAATGGTACATATGCGCAAAAGTTTATAGGAGGAAATGATTATATAAGCAAATGAGCGTGAACATATTTGTAGAGCTACCCAGTTAACCAAAGGGGATGAGCTTGTTTCATTAACTTTGTGTTCTTAAGAATCATATTTCGAAGTACTTTGCGTATGGCATTTGGTTGACTCGAACCAAACGTCTCAAAACATGAGCATTATCTTCGAAGATATAAGAAAATAATAGAAAATGTGGAACGCTGTATAAGAGTACAGGAGTTTCATATTCGGTTCCTATCTGTACTTTACAATGTTTTCTGAGAACTAAAGTTTTCTAAAATCTATTCCTCATCCTAACCGCATGTGAATTTTAAGAGAATATTGTACACTTACTTGAGTGATTGGAGCAAAAACAAATGATGTTCTCCAAATTTAAAGCTTCAGGAAGCTAGACCCCCGCCCCTTTGTATGTCGCTATTCCATTGATAATATGCACAGTATAAAGAATCAATCTTAGAATTTTAAGAAAAAATATTTAGCCTTATAAGAAAGTATAGCATATAGGTTATGTATAGCAACTGTGGTAAGGCTTTGAAGTTACAGAAAAATCTTAACTCGAAACACAAAGTGAAGCCAAGGTATTAATTACTTATTCTAGTTAGCATAGAGGGGTTTACAAGTTTCCTTCGATAACACATTTTGGTATCGCAATACAACATTTCAGATTAGGGTTCACTTTTGATTCGTTGCACTATCCCGAGGGCCTTGTACAGTTCACACAGATCTGACGTTTCTAATGAGAAAAGTTCCATCTCATATATAATTAGAAGATTGAAGATATTTCATATATTACGTACATTGGTATCAAATTCAAATACAAGGCAACACTCTTTTGAGCATACGGAGAGAATCGCTAAAGTCGCAATAGTTATAGAGATTGTCTCCCAGATCTAAAACTCTACACTTACGTAAGGTTAGGTTAAGTTCAATGCAACAAAGCGACATCATATATATCGGGATATCTTAAAGTCTGAGCTTTCTATTGTTTAAGTCTCGATCATGGAAAGAGAAGACAGTCAAAAAGGAAATGTTGAGATGTTTCTAACTCGTCTTCTTTCAAAAACTTTTGCAACTGGCATCCGTTAAGATTCTCAAATATACCGTGTGGACGCCAATAAGGTGATGGTCAGTTTGAACCCCTGCTACTAGCTAAAGGCTAGCCTTAGTGAGAGGCAAGAGCTCACTAGACTTCTGGCGATCCACTTCGAGCCAAAAGGATCTTCGAACAGCGCAGAACCTAAAGGTAGTCCAGCGCTGACCAAGCTTGCGCGAAGTTTAGCTATTAAGTTATAGAACTCTAGATTTAATCATACCTAATTAAATTGAAGGAGAGCTTTTTCGCACGAAGTATCTGTATCTCACTCCACAGGAGCTGAAGTAGTTTATGGAAGCATAGTTCTTCTGGGTTAAGGAGA